TTTTGGCGACAATATGTTTAAAAAACAGTGCAAAAAAATGACTAACTGAAAACGGCTTGGCTTAAAGTGCTGAAGAAATTGGGAAGGCATTCAACTAACAACCAGAGCTGCTAGGAATAAGAGCAGTTGAGAAGGAGAATCCCAAAACAGAGAATCCTGAAGAATTTATTTCTGTATTTACCAAACCTGCTTGCTGGAGGGAGAAGCCAGCATCTTGCCTGGCTCCAGATTTAGGCTGTGCCCTACTGATCCAGCAGGATATGTTTTCCACACGTGAAGCTCCTGAGAGGTGCCTGAACCCCCAGCACTGTGGGCAGAAGGAGAGCAGTTTCCACAGCTCCACTCATGAACATCCCCAGATTTTGCTTCAGTGCCTCCAAACACTTTCCTGCGTCCAAAAACCCAGTAAAAAACACCCAGCAAGGATGGGCAGACCCTCCTACAGCACAAGCAGAAGCTCCAGCTGAGTTCCATTTGGCTTTCAGCTTTTTTCTTCTCTTTTGCCTTTTTCCCCAGTTACACTGGCTTTAGGTAAAGCCTTTTACAGAAGTTCTTCCAGTCTATACCTGCACTGCATAAAGAGCCAGTTCAACCAGTTTAATGCATTGGATTAGAATCTCCACTGCAGATAAGATGTGCTGTTTATTTGGGTTTATGCTCCTGAAGTGATATCTCCTCACAGGCAGAACCACATCCGACTTCTTGAAGGGAATTTTGGGGGCCTCAGGGAAAATCTGTACTAGATATTGGAAAGTCTTTTGTTCAGGAGTATTCAGGGAGGAGGTGTTTACAACAAACCATGCCTTGTAATTGGGGTCCATACTTCTCAGAATAAAGGACAGGAATATGCCCAGGGAAGATGGAAAGGTCCTCATCTACCCCGATTTCTGAAAGGCCTTTGAGATGGTCCCACATGACATCCTTCTGTCCAAATGGGAGAGAACCCAAATTGGATGAAAGGAGTACTCAGTGGACCAAGAAGTGGCTGGATGGGCACATCAGAGAGCTCTGGCCTGTGCTCCATGCCCAGGTGGAGGCCAGGAATGAGGGGTGTCCCTCAGAGCTGTGCCTTGGGACCAGGGCTCTTTGTCAGTGACACAGAGTGGGACTGAGGGCACCACAGGTGACACAGGGCTGGGGGGCTGAGGGGTGCAGGTGGTGCAAGAAAAGAACACAGACATCCAGGAGGACCTGGACAAGCTTGGGAAGTGGTCCCAGGAGAACTCCATATCCAAGACAAGGGGCTGCACCTTGGTCAGGGAGATCCCAGTTCTGGGTTCTTCAGCACAGGAAAGTTTTGGACCTGTTAGGGGGGGTCCAGAGGAGGCCACGGAGATGCTCCAAAGGCTGGAGCCCCTCTGCTCTGGAGCCAGGCTGGGAGAGCTGGGGGTGTTCACCTGGAGAAGAGAAGGCTCCAGGGAGAGCTCAGAGCCCCTTCCAGGGCCTAAAGGGGCTCCAGGAGAGATGGAGAGGGACTTGGGACAAGGGATGGAGACACAGGACACAGGGAATGGCTTCCCACTACCAGAGGGCAGGGAGAGATAGGATTTTGGGAAGAAATTCTTCCCTGTGAGGGTGGGGAGGCCCTGGCACAGGGTGCCCAGAGAAGCTGTGACTGCCCCTGGATCCCTGCAAATGTCCAAGGCCAGGATGAACAAAGTTTGGAAGGTGGAACATGTCTCTGTCAATGGCAGAGGCTGGAACACAATGGTCTTTGAGGTGTCTTTCCACCCAAACCATTCAGGAATTCTTTGGTTCTGTATCTTTCACTGAGAAGGTTTTCAACTTTCTTAAACAGGAACTGTAAAAATACAGTCAGTGGAAAGTTCTATTTAAAAATCAAGCCTAAACTTGCTCTTCAACACCTACCTAACAAAATTAAATTGCAGAGGTGTAACAGTTGTAGAGAAACCCAGCTGTGAAATATGTGACTTGGGCCACTATGAAGTAAAATATTAGACAGAGGGGATTCTACAGCTGTAATTAGATTTCAAGCATAAGGAGCTGCAATTTTACTAATTTCTTCCCCTTCCAAATTGTAGAGAAACCCTTTGGAGTAAAGCTGATTATCAGCATACCAGTCTACAGAAATGAAAATGAATAAATTACTTGCCCAAAATGACAGAAGCCTTTACAATAGGAATCCTATCTCTAATAGCATTGTTATTACCATTATAATTGTTACAATAATTTTTCTTTTACAATCTCATAAGGTCTGTTTCCCATATGGGCATTTAATCCAGATTCTCTTTCAATTAAATATCATTTTTCTTATGTCTAGGCCTCAGTAGATTTGCTGAAAATATTTTCTTGTATAAGTTCTCTCTTTCTGAGCATGTGGTTGATCCTTTAAGGTACGGTGGTTATCTGTGGGGGAGAGGGATTCAGAGTCTGGAGGTGTGATCCTCCTTGGCCTTCTTGTTTGGGATTTGTGGACTTGAGCAAAGCACTAGAAAAAGCAACAAAAAACCCCCAAGCAGTACATTGGCCCTCACATTTCTTCTTTGAGGCACTGAGTTTTGCAAAAGGAATGGACTAAATGCACGCCTAACTCTTTTTGTTTTCCACAAATAAAGTTTCAGATCTTCAGCTAGAAGTCCCTAGAAGTGCTAATAATTTTTATTCCAGCATCTCTGTATAAACCATCCTGCTGAACAATCAAACACTGCAGCCTTTTATATATATATATATATATTTTTTTTTATCTGGTTTGCTGCACTAGGATTAAAGACAGCAGTTATTAGCAAAAGCCTTAGAGATTCCTCTTGACAGCGAGGAGCAGAGGGTTAAAGTCAGCTATTTGGAAATGTCTGCCTAAAAAATACCCACCAGACACATCAAGTGCCCAGTGTGTGCACCAGGGAGCATCGTGTCAGCCATCTGCATTTGTCAGCTAATAAACCCCTGCACAAATACCTGATTTATATGCACACCTCGAGGTTTGGACACACAAAAAGTGGCAAGGGCAAATCCCTGTGAACAATTGCACTTCTCTCACTTGGAAAATCTGGATCTCTCTGTTTATTTTGAGAAAGAGCTCGTCTTCCTCTTTCCTCCTGAGTGATTAATGCTGTAATGACCAAGTTAGACAGGAAGCACAGGGAAAGCAGGTGAGGGTTTAAAAAGGGGGCAAGAGAGAGGAGTTCCCGTCAGATGATTAATCAGACAAATGAGTTATTTGGAGAGAACTGTTTGTATGCAGCTGAGTTTTCTAAGATGTAATGAAGTAATTGCATTATGAAAATAATCAGCTGCTCTGCATTCTGATCATTAGATGCTGATGATATAATTGTGGTATAATGAAAAGCAGTCTGGTGATTATTCCATAGAGAAGTTCTCTGCAGATAATATTCAAATTTACTTTATTTTGGCATCTTTTCAAAGAAGCTTCAAGTACAATATAAACAGCTGGACGGTGAGGTAATGTTATCAGAACTTCTGAAATATGTCCCCTTTTTAAACTATAATCTTGAAAAAGTTCTTTGAGCTTATCTGCATAATGCCAACTGAACTTGTTTGTGTTTTATGGCAGCTCATTAAATAACTTTGTTCTCTATTTCCATTGGGAACCAGCAGTTGGTTTTTTTTGGGTTTTCTTTCCCTCTGAATAATTAATTATAAACCATCCCAAAGCCATACAGAATCAATTCTCTCGTACCCTGAATTATATTTTACCACTTACTCTCTTCTACTGCTATGCTGTGATAAATGCCAGCATCGTGTGTGACAGGTGACTGACATTTATGGCCCTTTGCAGGGTAAAACACCAGTCTGATCTTCCTCCAGATGTAATTTCACTGCTGTTTGAAAGCCAGAATGCTGGATTTTCTCAAGTTAATAATCAATCTCCAAAGCAGGCACCTGGTATCTAAGTTGGGATTGCCTTCCCAATTTTTTGACACAAGTCAGCCCACTGGGCTTTGATGGGACAAACAGTTCTATGCAGAAATCTTCTTTTCTCCTGAACATCTGGCAAGTTGAGAGGAAATTAATCTCCCAGCCAAATAAGAAATCCAAGTTATTTTGCTGTCTTGTTAAAAGTTGTGTTTTTCTGCTATCACCACAGTATTTAAATGCACCTTGAACAGTAAAATGTAGTTTTATGCTCTGCTGACTATATTGCTTGCAGGGAAATGTCTGGGCTACAACATGGACTAATCTTTGACTGGTAACAAGCTCTTTGTTTTCTACTCACAGTTTCTTCATTATCCTTCCCCAGACTGTAACTGCAGCCCTGTTTGATGGGGAATAGTGGTGAGAAAGCAGGGTTGAACATCGTGCTACTCGCTAAGACTCATTTGTTTCCCTTTGCTACAGACAAGCATTTCCAACCTTGGAATTTCCCAGCTGATTTAAATCCCCTCCCTGCCTTTCTATCCATGATACACATGGTTGTTTTCTGAATTTGTTCTCTAATGCAAAGAGAAAAAATTGCCAATTCAGTGTGGTGTGAAGCCAGCCAAGTCTAGTAGCAGGAATGGGTAGACGGGGTAGAAAGCAAAATAATAAGTGTTGAACAGGGGATCCTGAGATCTTGACCTCAAAAGTCTTCCTGCTGTACTGAAAATATGCTAGATACAAAGTTCTTGAGTCCTTAAAGAACTTTTTTTTTGTAGTTACAGCCTTGCATAGCCAAGCCTGTACTGTTTGGGAGGTCACTGTGCTCTCAGGGTCAGTCTGTGCTTGTTCCACTTAGACCTGTTGTAAAGCCAGAGTAATCTAATTGTTGTAGCTCTTAATGCACAAAAACAACTCCAACTTCTCTCCTTCTCTGGGCTTCAAAAAATATGTTCACAACTTCACTACCACACCTGTGATGTGCTGAATCAAGTAAGAAGGCTGGAATAAAATGCTCTGTTTCATTTGATGATGTTTTAGGAGGGGAAGTAGAAGCCCACACCTCTCATTGACTCTAATTAGAACAGCAGGTAATTGGCAGGGCTGAAAGTAAAGCACTAAAAAACCCCACAGATGTTTCTTGTTGTCTCAGAAATCTAAAAGAAGGAGGAAAAAAGGCAGGACCAGAACTTGAAAGGGATCTGTGAGCTTTTGAAAGGTGCTTAGTTGCCTAACTGTAAATTGGTTTAGTAAAACTTAAGCACCTGTACCTTAAAGCTGTGTGGGTATATATATATAAAAATATTTCTCTCTATAATTACTTAAGACAATAACTCTGTTTTAGACCTTTAGAGCCAGAATTCCATTTCCTGCTTTAACTACTAAATGTCACTGCCAGACAGAAAGAGGTAGAAAAAGCCAACAGGACACAAAAAATTTGCTGTGCTCCAGCCCTTGCATTTCAGCCAACACAAGGAACTTCCACAGAGTCCAAATGCACTAAAGTTGGAGTTGATATATCTTAGTCTATTGGCCTGTGGAGCTGATTGCTGACTTGCCTTTTCTGTCTTTCCTGCTGCAAGGGTCTCCAAATGGCATTGTTACTCTAAAGTGCTGTAACAAGGAGTAACGACCGTGACTCCCTCCTCATTACATTTCTTTACAGGGAGCTGGATTTTTCATGGAACTGCAAGGTAAGTTTCTGAGATGTTGCTCTTTCAGTGCTTTTTATTTTACTGCAGTAATCAAAGAGAAAAATCATTTCTTTGACATGTTATGTGAATCCAACAGAGAAATGCCGGAGGGAGATGCTGGGAATTGCTGGCTGTGTATTCTACTGGCAGCAGACAGGAAGGATCGGGATAATTCCTGCACTTTTGATGGGTTGTGCTATCTCCAGATATTGCTGAATCATTGATGCCATAGAACTTCCACCTGGAGCTCATAAAAATGTTGGGGGCAAGCAGCATTTCTGTCTGAAATTCATGTACTGAATTAACTGCTTTTGTTTCCTTTTTAAGTGCTGCCAAGGAGAAAATCGCTGGATATACCTACTGGGTTTTTTCTTACTACCACCCTCAAGTCTATCTAGTACACAAATGGAAGCTCTGGATATGGGGGTCTTGTGGATAAAAATAATAATCTTTTTCAGTTCTTCACTGGTGTATAAATTGATTTATTAAACAGTATGAAGTAAAAGATGATTTCATCACTTACTGGGTATTGACTTTACATTGAACACCAGAAGTGAATCTGTGAATGTCCAAGTGACACAGTCAGATGTATCATGGATACAAATGTGGAGGGGGAAAAGTCCAAGGAAACATCAGTGCTGCTGACAGGATGTAATAGAGACAGGTTATTCCTCTGTCATTGATTACATCTATGAGAAGGGTCCTCAGAGAAGCTACAGTAGAATATCTCTTTTTTAAGTATTTTAAGACCAGAGCTCTACTAACAGCTATACTTGGCTGTATTATTATTGCATGTACTGCTGGGGCAGCACAGCTGATAATGTTAAAAATAATAGTCAGAAATATTAAAAAATAAAAACCTACACATCAGCCAAGTTATTTTTTCCTTCCTCCCATGCCCACTGTGCTAAGCAAATCACAGGTGTGTAGTTAAAGAAAGAAATGCTACCCATTCTTACTCCTAATTCACACAGTTTAAACATTCTGCAGAGCAGGGTGTTGGTAACAGATGGATTCTTACAGCGTGTGCCATGAATACCTAGGAAGAATGGAATGTATTTAGTATCAATATTGTGATTGAGAAATAAAAATCCTTGTGAAGACTCATTCCTGTGAGTAAGCAGAATAGTCTGGCAGTGTAAACTGCTGGAGTGGTGGGGAACAACAAAGTAATCATCCCATGTAATGGAATAACTGCCTCCAACAACTCCGTTTCCTTAGGCAGGCAATTCTGATTTGTAAATAGCACACAAGCTAAATTTAGGGAAATATTAATGGCTCACAGATCAAAACTTTACAGAGGAAATTTTTAGCACTTGGTGTACTTTTGCAGCCAATCTAAAAAAGGTGTTGGGGGAAGTTTTGAATGACTTTTAATTAAGATAGATTAAGGGAAGCCTTTGCAGTTCAGACTAACCTGTCTCATAATGCATCATACATGTCCTTGGTACCTGCCTAATGTTATCATTTCCTCTGGTAGTTACAACCAACTTCTGTGTAGGGAGACTCCCTATCTACAAAGTTTAATGTTTCACACCTCATATTTTGCTCTCCTGCTAAAAGCAATTTTCTACTGCAATTGGATTTTCAGTGCATGTCCCGCCCATACTGAACATGGTCTGTTATGGCCCATTTCCTCCTTTTCCCAGTCCTAATTGAAAAGCAACCAATTTTTACTGCTTGTAATACACATGTTGCTCAGAGCTGAAATTTTCTGCTTAAGGCCAGCTTTTGGTCTTTGCTGACTGTCTTCATTGAAGCCAGAGGGTTGTGACCATTGGCAGAGTCCAGCTGGAGGCCTGCAGGTAGTGATGTGCCCCAGTGCTGGGCTCAGTCTTGTCCTTACCATTCAGCAGTGACCTGGATGAAGGGACAGTGTTCCCTGAGCACTTCTGCTGATGATACAGAACTGGGAGGAGTGGCTGATCCACCTGAAGGTTGTGGGGCCATTCAGCAGGACTTTGGCCAGGTTGGAGAGTGGGGTGAAGAGAAATCCAGTGAATCTCAAGAAAGGCAAATGCAGGGTCCTATACCTGGGGAAGAATAAACCTGAGCACCAGAAATCCTTCCCTGTGAGGGTGGGCAGGCCCTGGCACAGGGTGCCCAGAGAAGCTGTGGCTGCCCCTGGATCCCTGGAAGTGTCCAAGGACAGGCTGGACATTGGGACTTGGAGCAGCCATGGACAGTGGAAGGTGTCCCTGCCCATGGCAGGGGGATTGGAAGTGAATGATTTTCAAGTTCCCTTCCAAGCTAAGCTATTCTAGAATTTGTGATATTTAAAGAACAAACATAATGTCCAACAAACATCTGGTACTTTTTTATTTATTTTACCAGTGTAACATTATCCAAAAAGTAATTGGTGCTTGATTCCTTTGTTAGGACAAAACCAACCAAAGAAATGCCCTGAATTTTAGCAAAGTTCTGTAATTCAAATGCAAATGCAGGGTCCTGCACCCAGTGGGGGAACAACCCCAGGCACCAGCTCAGGCTGGGGGTGACCTGATGAAGCAGCTCTGAGGAGAAGGACTGGGGGCTGTGCTGGACAAGAAGTGTCCATGACAAGTTGTGTTTCTTTGTGCCAATAAGGCAAACAGGATCCTGGGATTTATTAGAGAATTTCCTGGAGGTTAAGGGAGGTGATCCTGCCCCTCTGCTCAGCCCTGGTGAGGCACATCTGGAGTGCTGTGTGCATTTCTGGCCTCCTCGGGACAGGAGGGACATGGAGCTCCTGGAGAGGATCCAGTGGAGGCTACAATGATGAAGAGCAGACTGGAACTAAAGGCTGAGGGAGCTGGGGCTGTTCAGCCACAAGAAGAGACAGCTGAGAGGGGATTTATCAATGCATACAAGTACCTCAATGCTGGGTGTCAAGAGGAAGGGGCCAGACTCTTCTGTGGTGCTCAGCAACAGGACCATGGGCAGTGGGCAGAAATTAAAGCATGGGAAGTTCCACCTAAATATGAAGAAAAACATTTTCCCTATGAGAGTGACAACACTGGAGCAGACTGCCTGGAGATGCTGTGGAGTCTTTTTGGAGATATTCAAAACCTGCTTGAGTGGAGTGGTTGGACTAAATGATCTTAGAGGTTCCTTCCAGCCCCACCATTCTGCAATTCTCTGAAAATTTCCATTCCCATCAATGAAGCCAGGATTTGTCTGCAGCTGTTTATTTGGAAAAGTGGGCTAAGTTTGTGCTCGGAGGCTTTGCTATGTCCTTCCAAGAAGCTGATAACCTTTCCACAAATGCCCTTCCTGAAAGGAAACAATCAGCAGAATGCGAATTAAAATGAGTTGAAGCAGAAAATTAATCAACCAGGAGGCGTTAATGGATTAACTCCTTTCCAGGCAGTGTCCCTTCCAGCATCCCTCCACCTTTCCAAGGACAGGGCGAGCATCAGAAGTGTCCCCTAGCCTGGAGATGTGCTTAGCAAAGCCTGGCTCAGCTGGTCAGGGAAGTGTGCCCAGCCTTCTGCACCACTTGCTGAACAAACCATCATTTAATCTCCAATTAATCAGGTCATTATGCAAATGCTAAACTGACCCCTAATACTTCTTTCTCTGACATCTGCAACAAAGTGCTGAGAAGCCTGAGTTCCTCAGGGCTTTTTTTTTATTATGCTTTCTGCACTAATATCAAAGAAGGCCAATGATTCCACTATACAGTAGAATATCTGACTCACAACTATCTTTAATGTTTTTTGCAAACCCTGGGATTGCTAATGTTTAAATCAACAAGAAACAAAATTAGTTCCATCACTCTTTTTATCAGGAACTCAGCAACTAAAAAAGAAAGTCTCACAGTAAAATTGCTTCCCACTCCTAAATCCTGTGCTGTGTCACAATTTAAATAATTCAAAATTCCCACAAAGTCTCTCTGTTCCTGAAGGAAGTAATCTATCAGCTTTTTTCATCATGTTTGCAGGTTAAATATTCACTAATGGTTTATTAGCACATACATTGTAGATGATCAACTTTGATTAATGTCCAAGTGCTACAAAGTTTCTCATGTTTAATAAATATTTTCTGTACTCCCTTATTGCTTTATCAACATAAATTACAATAACTGTCTAATAATTGTAAATCAATACAAACCCTGCAGTAAATCATTCTGAAGCAGAGAGCTGTTAAAAAGGGAAATCACAGAATCATTTAGGTTGGAAAAGCCCTCTAAGATCATCCAGTCCAACAATTTCCCCAGCACTGCCCAGGCCACCACTAAACCACGTCCCTAAGTGCCACATCTGTGGTTTTTAACCACCTCCAGAGATGTCTCAGTGATGCCATAGTTTTCCTGTTCCTTTCCTATTGTCATATGAGAATCTAATCCAATGCCAATCTGAACTTCTCTTTCATTCCTTTTTTATACTTTCATTTTTTTTTTTTCTTTTTCTCTGAACCCTCAGCAACTGGGACAATAGATTGGTTAAATCATCTCATTTGAATGCAATTTTTTTACCTTGTCTCAATTCACTGAGATGAGGAATGTGGGGCATTTGGGGTGTTTTTTTTTGCTACAGGCTGAAGATGCCAAGTGTGATTCTTGAGGTCTTGTGGTTAATTTTACTTTGCCTCTGGCTATCTGTTGATTTCTTTTCTACTTAAATATTTTACTGAGCCTTGTGTATGCACTGAAACCAACACATTTTTGTGCATACACCCTGAAGAGAGTGAATTACAGAGCCTTGGTTTCAGCAGAGTGGGCCTTATGAAGGGACTTCTGAGAATCACAGGATGGTTTGGGTCGGAAGGGACCTAAAAGATCATCTCATTCTACCCCCTGCCATGGGCAGGGACACCTTCCTCTATCCCAGGTTGCTGCAAGCCCCATCCAACCTGTCCTTGGACACTTCCAGGGATGGAACTTCATAAAGTCACCCTAGCACAGACAGCCACAGCTCCTCTAGGCAGCCTAGAGATAGAGCAATCCTGGGTTAAGGTTGGAAGATGTTGCTTTCCAGGCTGTTCCCCTGGGTAGCCTCCATGGCAATGGAGAGAGGGAAATCTTTCTAAATAGCAGCTCCCAAAGTACTTATCTGAGGCAGGCAGGATACATCTTCCTCCACAAGTGACAAAAAAGGAATGACTAACTTTGATCCAACACCTACCTTTTGGATGGCTGAAGTTAAGGAGGATGAATCATGCTGCTGCTGCACTGGTTTCCCTCCTCTTTACAGAACAAGGATTTTATTGTTGCTTCTATCTTTACACAGTCCTTGCCCCAGAATCTCTGCTAGTTTTACGGTCTTGGAAAGACCTGTTTTACAGAGTCATGCTGTTGAGTTGAAATCACAGGCTGGAGTCTGTGCATGAGGAGAGCAAAACCCACTGGATTTAGCTGCAGGATATGCTATTTGGTGAACTGCCTTTCAATAAATTTTCCTATGATTATTTTCTCTGGATTGGCCAATCTGTTTAATGTTTCCTGCTCTTTCAAAGTGGGCCATTATGTCTGGGATGATTTCAGGCTCCTAATGTGAGTGTAAGTACTTTTAACAACAAAGTCTTTACTGTGCTGGAG